GGCCCCCAGGCCCCCACATGCCCCCCCCTCCACCTGAGTCATGGCATCCAATCCCCACATGGAGATGCAGTGAGTGCGGCCTGCCTCGCAGACCAGTTCCTGCGTGAATCCTTAGGGAGCCCAACAGGCCCCTGTGGTCCCTGCAGCTGCGGTCCGGCTCACCAGGACGAGGCCACGCAGAGGGCTTACCCGGCGCACAAGCCCTGGCATCCCAAGTGAGGGTAGCAGGGGGAGTGAGAGGGAGCTCAGCGGACACCCCGCATACCCACCACACCTTCATCCCCATCACCCCATCCTCAGGTAGCTGGTGAGAGGTCGCAGCCCCCCCAACCCCCCTGCCCAGGTGCTGCAGGAGGTTGGTCACCACCACCCACTCCCAGTTCCCCATACCAGCCTGGGGTCCAGCCCCGATCCGGCGATCAGAGCCTGCCGGCCGCTGGTCACCATCTGCAGGGCAATCGGTGGGGCAATAGGGCCCCCACTTGCACCCACCTTGGCCTGGAGCTGCCTGCTCACCTGCTCCACCATCCCGCTATGGTCCTGCTCTCATCGGGGCCCATCGGGGCCGGCAGCGCCTCCACTGCTGCCTGCTGCCAGCACCATGTCGCCAACACCCGCCATGTTCTGCATCACCCCCTGGTGGTTAGCACATGTCATGGTGAGCAGTTGAACTCCAAGTGGAACTCCTAGTTGAGAAGATAATTTGCATATTAGGCTTTTTATATAGACTAGGGGCCCGGTGCACGAAATTCATGCACTGGGGGGGGGGGTGAGGTCCCTCAGCCCAGCCTGCCCCCTCTCACAGACTGAGAGCCCTCAGGGGATGTCCTACTGATGGCTTGTCTGGCCTCTCTCTGCAGGAGGCGACTAGGCTGATAAGGGGAAGGCGCCAGCCCCATCACCCTGCTGCTGCAGCCACTGCCAGCCACCACAGCCACCAAGGTATTTTCATCAACACAGACTCCAGTCCCTTCACCATGAAAAATGACAACTTTCTTTAGGCATTTTCAAGGTGTGTCTTTCATAGGATATGAAATTTCTTTCTTTTTTTTCTTTTTTTTTTTAATCCTCACCTTAGGACATGTTTCCATTGATTTTTAGAGAGTGTGGAAGAGAGAGGGAGAGACAGAAACATCAATGTGAGAGGGACACTTTGATTGGTTGCCTCCTGCATGAGCCCTGGCCTAGGCCTAAGCCAGGGAGGCACCTGCAACCTAGGTGCATGCCCTTGATCATAATCAAACCCGGACCCTGCAGTTGGCAGGCCGAGGCTCTATCCACTGAGCCAAACCTGCTAGGGCAGGATATGACATTTCTTAGCCCCTCCAGCAGCGGACCTTCATTTTTTTCCTCCAGGAGTGTGGTAGAAAAACCCTATATCACCTTCTTGGATTCTTATAACCCAAGTTACCAAGAACACTGCAAGTGGTGGCGTACAGGGAGCTTAGCCAATGAGCAGTCGAAAAAGGTGTTTACACTCGAACTGCTCTGGCTCAGTGGATAGAGCGTTGGCCTGCAGGCTGAAGGGTCCCAGGTTTGATTCCTGTTAAGGGCATGTACCTTGGTTGGGGGCACATCCCCAGTGGGGAGTGTGCAGGGGGCAGCTGATTGATGTTTCTCTCTCATTGATGTTTCCGACTGTCTATCTCTACCCCCTCTTCTCTATAAAAAAATCAATAAAATATATCATTAAGAAAAAAAAGGTTTTTCCGCTGCAGCTCATGCACAGAGGACCCCCTGCGTTGTGTCCACTGGGTTAGGGGGTATGTCCCTGCTGCTGGGGGGGAAAGGCATGCCCCCGAGGCCTGCAGCCAGCCCCACGCATTGTGGGTGCCAGGCTGGGATGCACACAGAGACCCCGGGCCGCACGCATGGCAGCTGCCACTGGGAGCACACCTCCAAGACTGGCAGCCCCACATTGTGGGTACCAGGATAGGGGGTGTGACCCGGGCCACAGCTTGGTGCCAGCGCACGTGCAAGCGGCCATGGGGCGGGAACATCCACTTGGTGCCTGTGCCCGTAGGCCCAGAGTGGCCATGGACGTTCTGGGACCCCGGCCACTCAGGGCCTACGCACGGGCCTACAGGCTAGGAGCGGCATGGGTCCCAAGGATGTCCATATTCATTGGGTTAATTTGCATAATCACTCCTGATTGGCTGGTGAGCATAGCGGAGGGACAGTCAATTTACATGTTTCTCTTTTATTATATAGAACTAGAGGCCCGGTGCACAAAAATTTGTGCACTTGGGGGGAAGAGGGGGTTCCTCAGCCCGGCCTGTGCCCTCTCACAGTCTGGGACCCCTCGGGAGATAACGACCTGCTGGCTTAGGCCTGCTCCCGGGTGGCAGACGGCAGGCCCAATCCCTAGGTGCAGCCCCTGGTCAGGCTCAGAACAGGGCCGATTGGGGAGTTGGAGCACCGCCCCTGTCATGCACAGAGCAGGGCGGATCGGGAGGTTGCGATGCCACCCTCAGTCACGCTCAGGGTAGGGCCTATTGGGGGGTTGGGGCACCATCCCCTGTCACACTCAAGGCAGGGTCGATGGGGAGGTTGCGGCGCCACCCCATCACACACAGAGCAGGGTCGATCAGGGGGTTGGGGCGCTGCCCCCTGTCACGCACAGAGCAGGGCCCATCAGGGGGGTTGGGGCTCCGTACCCTGTCATGCACAGAGCAGGGTCGATCAGGGGTTTGGGGAGCTCCCCCCCGTCACTCACAGAGTAGGGCCGATAAGGGAGTTGGGGCACCGCCCCCTGTCACACACAGAGCAGGGCGGATCAGGGGGTTGGGGTGCCGCACCCTGTCACACTAAGGGCAGGGCCGATGGGGAGGTTATGGCTCTACCCCGTCACACACAGAACAGGGCCTGTGGGGGGCGGTTGGGGCGTCGCCCTCTATCACCCACAGAGCAGGGCCGATCATGGGGTTGGGGCGCCGCCACTGTCACACTCAGGGCAGGGCCGATGGGGAGGTTATGGCTCTACCCCGTCACACACAGAGCAGGGCCCGGGGGGGGGGGGGGTTGGGGCGCCGGACCGTGTCACACACAGAGCCGCAGGGCGATCAGGGGGTTTGGGCACTGCCCCCTGTCATCCCTGTCATGCTGACCCCAGTGCCGGGAGGCCTCGCAGCTCCGCTGACCCCGGTGCTGAGAAGCATATTACCCTTTTACTATGTAGGATAGAGGCCTGGTGCACGTGTGGGGGCCAGCTGGTTTTCCCTGAAGGGTGTCCTGGATCAGGGTAGGGGTCCCCACTGGGGTGCCTGGCTAGCCTGGGTGAGGGATGATGGCTGTTTGCAGCTGGTCACACACCCTTCAGGGTTGGGATCCCCACTGGGGTGCCTGGCCAGTCTGGGTGAGGGGCTGAGGGCTGTTTTCAGGCTGGCGGGTGATGGAAGCTCCCAACTGCTCTTTTTCTTTTTCCTTTTTTATTCTGGGCCAGCTTTAGCTCTGAGGCTCCAGCTCTTAGGCCTCCGCTGCTGAAAGAAGGTATCTGGTTTGTTTCGGTTCTATAATTGAAACAATGTATAACTCCAGCTCTGAGATCCCGGCTCACTGAAAGCAGGTTTCTGGGGTTTTGTTTAGCTTCTATATTTGTTACAATGTTTCAAACTGCAGGCTCAGAGGCCAGCAAGGCAGGCGGGGAACGTTGGTTTCCTCCATCACTGAAGCAAGCAAGCCTCATGTTAGTTTCAAGCTGCCTGGCTGCCGGCCGCCATCTTGGCTGGCAGTTAATTTGCATATCGCCCTGATTAGCCAATGGGAAGGGTAGCAGTTGTACACTAATTACCATGTTTCTCTTTTATTAGATAGGATAGCTATTTGTACTGTTGAGGCATTAATATAATACATGATTTAACTGATCTTTATAACAATAGTTTGGATTTACCATTTGTCTTATTGGTAGCTGTATTCAGTTATCTAAAAATCTAAAAGAACAAAGCATGCTGTTATGGACTGAATGTTTGTGTTCCACCAAAATTCATATGTTGACATCTGATTCCCAATGTGATAGTATTTGGAGGTGGGACACTTGGGATATAATGAGGTAGTGAGGGCAGAGCCCATATGAGTGAGATTGGTGTTCTTAAAAGAAGAACCCAAAGAGCTAGCTTGCTCCTCTTTTCACCATATGAGGATACAAGAAGTTGGCAGTCTGCAACTCAGAAGAGAACCTTCTTCAGAATATAATCTGGGACCTGCAGCCTCCAGAATTGTGAGAAATAAATTTGATGTTAATAAGACACCCAGTCTACAGTACTTTGTATTAGTAATCTGATATAAACCCTATAAGGAGGTATGTCACATTTCAAAAACATGTATGTGGAATTCTAAAAGCTAAAGTCATTTTACCTCCTGAACTTTACATCCTTTTCCAAACCCATCTCTCCAACCAAGCTAAGCTCCTGGTCACTTCTAAACACACCTCAAGTTTTCCCGAAGTTGTGGCTTTTCTCCACAGAAATATCTGCTGCCCCTAGCTGTGAATGTCCAAGCTTCACCATATGTTCAGAGTCCCTGTGAAATAATACCTTTTCTAGAAAGCTTTCCTTGGTTGCCCCAGTTTGATGTGTTCTCTCCATCCTCTGAACTATAGCAGTTTCTGTCTATAGCAGATAAGTCTATGTCTTACTGCCTTTGCTAAACTAGAAGTAACTTCAGAGCAGGGCTCATGGCTTACAAATTTTTCTTAGCCCCTTATATAACTTGGTGTCATGGTTTGCACATATTAGATGCTCAACTAGTATTTGTTATGGGCCCAGCACGCTTCCGCTGCGCGACTCTGCTGCTAGATGCTCAACTAGTATTTGTTGAATCAGAAATTAATCCCCCCAGGCAGTGCAGGGGGCGGGCAGCGCAGAGTGAGAAGCTCTTTTGTTCGGCTTAGGAAAGGGCCTTTGGCTTGGGCCTGCCCTCAGTGAGGGGCTCGACCGCGCCCCCCGACGTGACGCTCCGGTAGCACAGTACCGATCCCTCTTGTGCTCTTGGGTGCTCTCTGAGCAGCGTCACCCTTTATACCAGAAAATTGGTGGGCACTATGGGGAAAAAACAAAACAAGAAAAAAGTGGAGGAGGTGCTAGAAGAGGAGGAAGAGGAATATGTGGTGGAAAAAGTTCTCGACCATCGAGTGGTAAAGGGCAAAGTGGAGTACCTCCTCAAGTGGACGGAGTTCTCAGACCAGAAAAGCCTCGAGGCTTTGCCCGGGTTTGGAGCCTGAGCTGATTATTGGAGCTACAGACTCCAGTGGAGAGCTCATATTCCTGATGAAATGGAAAAACTCTGATGAGGCTGACCTGGTCCCAGCCAAGAAAGCCAATGTCAAGTGCCCCCAGGTCGTCATATCCTTCTATGAGGAAAGGCTGCCGTGGCATTCCTATCCCTCAGAGGATGATGACAAAAAAGATGACAAGAATTAACTCTCTTGAGTACCAGCCCCTGTCACATCTGACTGTGGTGTGGATTTCAAGCGGGGAGGGGAAGGAGTTCTACTTGTCTTGATACCATAGATGTGGCTTGAGAAGATGTCCTTTGAAGAGCCAGTATAGTTCTGTGCCCTACAGCAGCCCAAGTGCTTTAAAGCTGTTCCATGCTGTATAGTTTGCACACCCATCCATGTGAAGGGGAAGGAGGGGAAGTGTTTCAAGACAATTCATTCTGCACTTTGCTGAGAAAAGCGAAGGGCCTTCTATGAAGGACAAAACTTGCAGAATGGGTATGTGTGAGAGCAGAAAGATACTGTAGATCTTCAAAGAGCATCTCCACAACCCACAGCCTTCTTCCCAATAGTGTTAACTGCATTTTTACAGCGTAACATGTGTATAGTTTTTGGCTATTACTGCTGTATTATTTGGGGGTGGGAGGGATGAGGTAGGAAGGGAGATGAGTAGGATTGTTTTTATTAAAATTTGGGGCCTGGTTGGGGAAATGGTGAAACAATGAAAAGAAGAAAAAACTAATGATTTGGTTTTGTGTCCAGAATATTTTCTTTTTAAAAAGTGTAATTGGCAATCTAATTGAGGACTCTGAGAGACTGTTTAAAAGCTGTGGATGCCTGAAACTTACAGGCCAAGGTATTCCCTGCCTGAGGTTAATTCTGTTCCCAACAAAGGACTAAGCCAGTTGATAAATTACCAAAGCTGCCATTTGGGGCGGGGGGGTGAGGGGATGGAAATTAGTTGAGAAGGGAAAGTCTTTAATTGGAGCATATATATAGGCAGATCATTCTGTCTTAGAAGTGCTAATTCTTGAAATTGACAAGACCCTTTCTCTTCTAATTATGAAGCTATAGATATTAACTTGTCCATCCAAGCTCCTGGCTGAGGTATTTGGGTGGAGGAGAAGGGGATGGTATAGGAGGTGTGAGAGTAAAGAGAGGGGCCCATGTTTTTAGGATGGAGAAACTCTTGGAGCCTCTCTGTTTTTTGAACTTTGAACTCCTGAAACCATTGGTGGCAGGGTTCAGTCACTGACAGCACAAGTTCGCTGAATCACTTCAAGAGTTGTATTATTTCAAAAGCCCTGGTCTCAGGAAAAGATTAAACTTTCACTTTCATACTGGGGCAGTGGTACACTTTAAGACAAAAAACAAAAATTCTTTTTTTATGCCAAGAATTAACTAATACCCAAAATGCTGTCTTGACTCATGAAATTCGTCAGTTCTTGACATTATCCAGACCTACATCTAGACCTTCATTGTAAAATCCTTTTAGGCATGTGTTAGATTTCTGTGAAAACTTTGTTTAAATGTAAACTTCATAACAACACTGTCAGTTTTTGTTTTAACAAAACTATATAGATTTATAATTAAAAAAAAGGAATTGGAGAAACTAAGATGGCGGCATAGATAAACACCGGGAAATTGCTGCTTCCCACAACAATCGATAAATGCATCAAAAACACAAGGTGGACATCATCCAGAACTACAGGAGGGCTGGCTGAGTGTAAATTCTACAACTAGAAGGAAAGAAAAGCACACTGCGAGCGGGAGGAGCTGCGGAGGTGGAGTGCAGAGGTACGGGGGCTTGCGCGCGGAAAGGGTCTGGCACCTGAGGACACAGCTGTCTTTTTGAATCCAGAGGGAGACACAAACTCCCGACGGCCCTGAAATCCGTTTCCGGGAAGTCTCTGGGGACCCAGGACTCACACGGGGAGAAACTGGACTGTCTGGCAGCAGGCGAGCTTGAGAGCGGCTTTCCCTCAGAGGTGCTTGCAGCCATTGCCGGGACACTGGGACTCGCGACTCCTTAGGGCAGGGCTGAGGCTCCGCCATAGCTGCTTTCTCCGCCCTTTGATTCCTTGAGACCCCGCCCCGCCCAGGCTGCGGCAGAGGCTTTTGCATATGAATGCCCCGGCCATTTGCAACCTGTAATTACCTAACTGCAGCCGGGCCAGATAGACCCAGAGCTTCCAAGAGAAGGCCCAAGGCCCCACAGCGGCTTGCATTGCTACACAGCTGAGCATCATCAGGGCACTTCCAAACTCCAAAAAAAAGGAAGGGGAATCTGCAGTTCTCTTCGTAGTTCCTGCTGTGTAACCTCAGGCAGAGGCTAAATTAGCACCTCCTTAGATCCAAGAGCCACTGTACCCAGTGGTCAGAGGGGGACCATCCAGATCACAACTCCTCAGATCCATAAGGGACACACTCAGGGTCCAGTCTCAGTGAGCACCAAAGCCCCACTGAAGCAAGTCTTGCCCCAGAAGGGTGTCTCCAGCACAGAAGTTCTCCCACTGCAGACACAGCTGATTCTCGCTGCCAATTGCCCTGGAGGTCAATTCCTCCCAGTGATCCTATAACAACCAAGGCATAGCTACAACAAGACTGTGCACAAAGCCCACGAGGGGGTGCACCAACAGTGTCCACCTCAGGTAACTGGGGAGGCTGAGCCACTGGGCCCTACAGGACACCTAGCACACAAAGCCACTCTATCAACACAGGGAAGCAGCCAAAATGCGGAGACAAAGAAACAGGTCACAAATGGCAGAAATGGAGGAAAGCAAACGACTGGATATAGAGTTCAAGGCCACGTTTATAAGGTTTTTCAAGAATTTTATGGAAACCGCCGATAAATTTAATGAGTCCCTCAATAAGTATAGTGAGACCATGGAGGACATGAAAAAGGACCAACTAGAAATTAAGCATACACTGACTGAAATAAAGAATAATCTACGGAGATCCAACAGCAGACAAGAGGATCCCAAAAATCAAGTCAAAGATTTGAAATACAAAGAAACAAAAAATACCCAACTGAAAAAGAAAAAAGAAAAGAGATTCCAAAAATATGAAGATAGTGTAAGGAGCCTCTGGGACAACTTCAAGCGTACCAACATCAGAATTATAGGGGTACCAGAAGAAGAGAGAGGGCAAGATATTGAAAACCTTTTTGAAGAAATAATGACAGAAAACTTCCCCCACCTGGTGAAAGAAATAGACTTATAAGTCCAGGAAGCGCAGAGAACCCCAAACAAAAGGAATCCAAAGAGGACCACACCAAGACACATCATAATTAAAATGCCAAGAGAAAAAGACAAAGAGAGAATCTTAAAAGCAGCAAGAGAAAGACAGTCAGTTACCTACAAGGGAGTACCCATACGACTGTCAGCTGATTTCTCAACAGAAACCATGCAGGCCAGAAGGGAGTGGCAAGAAATATTCAAAGTGATGAATAGCATGAACCTGCAACCAAGATTACTTTATCCAGCAAAGCTATCATTCAGAATAGAAGGTCAGAGAAAGAGCTTCACGGATAAGAAAAAGCTAAAGGAGTTCATCACCACCAAACCAGCATTATATGAAATGCTGAAAGGTATTCTTTAAGAAGAGGAAGAAGAAAAAGGAACTCTTACCATTTGCCACAGCATGGATGGAACTGGAGAGCGGATAAATACCACATGATCTCACTCATTTGTGGAATATAATGAACAACATAAACTGATGAACAAGGACTGATCCAGAGACGGAGAGGCATTGATAGGACTGTCGGGCTTTGGAGGGAGGGTAGGGGAGCGGGGGGGGGGGGGGTAAGGGGGAAAGATCAACCAAAGGACTTACATGCAGGCATATAGGCCTAACCAATGGACACGGACAACGCGGGGGGGGGCGGGGGGGGTGAGGGCATGAGCGGGGGGTGGGGGGGTAGAGGGTAACGTGGGGACAAGGACACATATGTAATATCTTAATCAATAAAAAATATATTAAAAAAAAAGGAATTAATCCCCCCAAAGAGAACGTTAGGACAGTATTTCTTACCTCCAAGCAGGCAGGACTCAGTCTGGCAGATTAAACCTCAAAGGAAGGGAAATCCAGACGTCACTGAATAGTGCCCAGCCAAGCAATATGGGAGCCTACAGCAAAAGATGAAAACTAAAACTGATCCTATCTTCATTTAAAATTTTGACATTTTGTTCATTGTGGATATTTACATTTTTAATTTTAATTATTCCAAATTTTTATTATTCAAATATGGTATTAAAATACTATTTATCTCGATACCTGAGTTTTTAACACCTTAACGTTTGCACCTGAGGTAAGTGCCAAACTCTCTTCACTTTATTTCCAGACCTCCAATAGTCATAATTAAGTAGATGGCAGCTTAAGAGATCCAAATCATTTGCCCATTCTGAGCATAATGCTGGCCATTGTGTGGATATTTAGGAAAGAACTAAACAGACTTCCAAATTCTCAGATAAAGTTTCTACTGTAATGTTGAGCTAGAGTGTTAGCCCATTCCTACAAACACTATGCCAAGAGGGAAGAAAGATGCAGATGGTCATACATGCTGAGTCAAAACCTACAGAGGCAAACAAGATCATCCCTGAGGCAGTGAAAACACGTTTGTCAGACACAAGACTTTCCTTCCAAGCCCAAAAAGATGACACACTGAAAATGTTGTTATACTTCTTGCCCTGGAAATAAATGGTTCAAGAACTCAAGCAGATCTGGATCAATACATGGTATCTATCAGTAAATATTGCCATTAGTACCTGTATGAGACATCTACACTAATAAAAGGGTAATATGCTAATTAGACCAGAAAGACCGGCGTCCTGCAGACATCCATCCGGACATCCTTCCAGACAAAGCCGCAGTGGCTGCGAGGGCCAAGTAGGGCCAAGGAAAGCCAGCAGCCATGGCAGCTGGCAGTGGCAGCAGCAGCAGCAGCAGGGTGATGGGGGCGGCACCTTCCCCTGATCACTGGTCGCCTGCCGCAGAGGGAGGCCAGACTGCGGCTTAAGCCCGCTCCCCATGGATGTCCTAAGCCGTCAGTAGGACATCCCCTGAGGGCTCTCAGACTGTGAGAGAGGGCAGGCTGGGCTGAGGGCCCCCACACCCCCACCAGTGCATGAATTTTCGTGCACCAGTCCTCTTGTAATTAATAAAGATAGGGCTATCCTTTAGAGGGTTTGGGGGGTTTTCTTT